TTTCAGATCTGAAATTGAATCATGAAATTTTAAACGTTATCATGATGACATAGTTCGACGACTGCACCTCTGAGTTAGGCAAGATTTTAAGCACACATTGAATTAAATACCAACCAACAAACTTATAACTCCCCCAATCTCAAATTATGTATGATAAATTAAAAAAAACTAATAATGATCTCCATTTCCCACACGTTACACAACAAGATGCTGTGAAGGCCAGTTCATTACTACTACACAGTTAAGTAAATATGTATAACTTATTCTAATTCTGATATTTAAAAACCTGTCTGTCCATATTTATAACTTAAAGATTAATAATTGTACGTTTCGAGTAGAAAAATTTTTCCCGACGGTATTAACGATTATTAAAACACAGTAAACGTTTAGGAAAACTGCAGTGAAAGTGATTAGATGCAGGATCCAGTGTTAGTTAGCTAGTTGACATAAAGATATATTTAACTATAGAAAGTGGTAGAATAGAAGATAAAATTTAAATATGATCGAAATTAATTATTATCATTCGTACACTTTCGAACCAGATATTCAAAATGGGTTGTTTAGAAGAAAAATCGAAATCATAACACAGTCTGTTAGGGCAGGAGATACATAAATATTCAAGATTTTTAAATGGAATTTTAGCCGTTAAACGGCAATTTTTGTATGAATCAGTATGTAAGTAAGGTATAAAAATTCATATGACCCATTTTCTGAGGGGATATATTAATCTGAATTTATAAACGGTATAATGATTGCAAAGTATATATTGATTTTGATATCGACAACAATTAGGACTACCGATGATGATGATATTAGAAAAAGAACTATATAGTGTATAACTTACTTAAGAAAAGTATGGGTTTAACACAATATTAATAGGATCCGTATATTCTAAATGATTTATTAAAAAAGAAACGGGATTCTAAAACGCCTGCAGACAACGACTACTTACTTACCAATATGGATAATTAGCAATTTACCAATAGTTCGATATATAAAAACACAGTGGACATATTCATGTCATTCTATTATTATTATAATTATAACATATTTAGAAAGTGGGAGTACAGATAAGCATTTACATTTAGAATTTAATTACTCGTGAACTCTTGAGTCTCAAATTGTTGATATTATTAACACTTAAACTTACTTAATCCAGTTATTTACAAGCCGAGTTTTCTTTGAAATGAAATGTGGTAAGTATGAAACGATACATGATTTCATTTTTTTTTAAATACGAAGGTTACCAGTGAAAAGTACCAGTTCATTTAAAATAGCTTGTAAAAAAACGACATCTTCAAATGCAGTTTGATGAGTTGTAAATATACATATATTAAATTAAATCTATAACTTTTAACAAATCTAGACTAGCAAAAAAGGAACGACTGAATGAATGAATGGGTTCGGAAGAGAGAGTAACAATTAAGAGTGCAAGCAAGTGAACGAAGTGATAGAGCAAAAGTTGGCCAAAGATTGAAGGGTAAAAATACTTGATTTTCACTTTCAAAAATTTATTTACAAATCCGGTTGGAACTTTTTATTTTCAATCTAGTCAGTAATACTCACAGAAAAAATTTCAAATTCGAGAAAATTTTCAAAATTTAGTTTGTCCGACTTTTATAAATGATGGTTTGGTGGTGGGGACGAGAAGAAAAAAGTAGGATTTTGTGACGAGAGACAACCAAAAGGGAAATCTGGACAATGAAGGGCGTGCTATGTTATGTTATCGAGTATGAAGACGGTAGAAAATACTTGGTGTCATTTTATCGTTAATTAAATATTATTATAACAGTTAGGATTATTTAGGATCGTGTTATTACGTACGGAGGACGTAATAATTAATTATTATTGTAGGGTTAAGAATTATTATCTTTCTTCGTAAACAATGGTTATTTTCTTTATGGTTTTCCTACCATAAACGTGTCGTACTTGCGTAAATAATTGTGTTGTCGGATATTTGTAAGGTAAAATTATGTAAAGCAGTACTCTCTTCAATGAAGTCTTATATTCCAATCTCGATCTTGTTTTTCAATTTACTGAAAAATATTATTTATACGACGTTCAAAGCTGTCTTTGTTTTTTTTCTTAATCTGTTGAAATTCGTCGTCAAAATCAATGTTTTATTTTATTTTTGTATCGTTTAATAGTAACTCATTTAAGATTTTTTTTTACTAAATACGACAGGAAATCAAGTTTATATAATTTCTGTGCCATTATTAAATTGATTGAATATACATGGAGTTTTTTTCAGAAAACTCGTATGTTTACGGTCTGATTTGTTAATTTTGTGATCTCATTCATCAACAAGAACAATATTTTACGAATGGTATGTATTTAACAGTACTCGTGTTCCTAAAAAAAATCTCTTTTACTTTTTATTATTATTAACATTTCCTCCTAAATAAATACGGAATTGGAATGATATTACTAAAATTTTGTCGAGTTTTAGATCATAAAATGTAGATATCTATAAGTAGTGGTGGTGACTACTATTTTTACCAATTATATAGAATGAACTGGTCAAAATTACAGAGTCAATTTGATAACTCGTCTCGTCGTCTTTAAGCTTATTTACCAGACGGATATTCTTGCATACAATATGGATATATATACATACATATATATATTACTATATTATTATATATGGTGTTGTGATTGTGATACTGACATTACATAATATCTTGAGACAAATAGATGAAAACTCACACATATTTCAATACTTGATAGGAAAAGTAGAATTCATAATTATACATACATAGCGGATAGAGAACAATGAAAAAATGTCCCAAAATCTCACTTTTCATTTGAAAATTATTTACTTTTTTGACTCATTTACATAAATATGTTCATTCAACTGTGGGATATGTATGGAGTGAAATTTAGGGCAGAGAAAGAGCTAGAAGATATAATAGAGGACCATTTCTTCAATTCAGTCAGAGTACGTATGTTAGTAGTCAATCAGTCGTTGGAATAGAGAGAAAGTTATGTAAATCATCTTGGTTTGATTGGTATTATATTTTTGGATGAGTTTTTTTCCTGTAATTGTTGGTCATGTTTTTGACCATGCAACGAACGGAAGATGATGTGTGGGTTGGACTAGAAGGGTAGAATTCGGACGGTACTCTGCGAAATTGATAAGCGGCGATCATACCAATTTATGTATGAAAAGAACGGTCTTCTATGAGATGAAATGATGGTGAGAAACATTATAAGTCTTTCAACAGATTTTGTATTTTCGAAACCCCATTTAAAAAAATTTGAAATTTTGAAATTCTTTCTCACTTTCACCACTCTACAGTAGTTCTAAAATAGTTGTTATAATGAGTCAAGCACTTCCAGAAGCATGGCAAAATCATCAACCCTTTTTTATTATTCGTTTACTAATAATTCGCACCAAAAAGTGAGATCGTATAATTGCTTTAATTCGAAACAGAAATTAAATGCCGTTCCCTAAAAAATAAATACAAATTGAACTTTTAAGCAAGAAATGGTACCACGTTTATAAAATGGCTGACTCTTCCGATGAGTTTTTTTATGTCACCCCCCAAAAATTTCTCGTTCAACCACACCCACTACTAAATACATTTTATTATATAATTATACTCATTTTGCAGTATTTCAATTTGCACACACTCCATAAAATATTACTACTCGTAAGGAAGAAGAAACATAAAAATTTAACATACATGATTGATCTATTTTGTAAAATTATTCATTACGAATCGAAAATTAAACTTTAAAAGATTAGGAGAGAAGTCGGTCAGAGGTCAGTGTCGTCCTTCCTTCTATTAGAGGTGTAGGTATGTAAAACTCAGTTGTGCACAAGTAGGGCGTAGAATTATTGATAATGCAAATTATTTGCAATTTATTGCGAATGTAAATACATAATATTTAAATACATGTACCCCTATCATCACTAGTTATGTAATATTTAGATCGATGTATTCGTGTATATGTATAAAAAATAAAACGTATAAACTTTTTCCTCCTCCTAATTTGGCAATGTTTTGCTGCTGGTAAAACAACAAAGAAAAAGAGATGAGACGTGAACCGAGATGAAGATTTATTATGACAATGAATAGACCAAAGCAACTGTAAGGTTTTTTGTAATTTTTACTATGTATTTCGTATTTAAGGATCGTAAAAAAATATTCTACACGATTTTATGTCTTGATTAAAAAAACGGAACGTACATACATAAAAACGATGGATTAACACATTTTAAATATTATGAAATGGAAGGAAACCACTCTTCAGAAATATACTCAATTAAATGCAAAGCAAAAATAACCACCTTTTTCTACTTGTTAAATCATGGAATGAACCAGCAAAGTTATTTTCTACTTAATATTCTTGACTTATTGCAAAAAAAGAAGATGAGAAGGAATCTCAACTAGACTGGTTTAAAAAGATAACACAAAAATGTTAAGTTAAAAATAGCTAAGCTAGGAAATAATAATGATGTTTAAAAAAAAGTCAAAATTTTTAAAGACACCCTAAAAATTCATAGTTGACTCGAACTTTGCAAATTTCATAACAAACGGTTAATCCATCATCTCCTGTGAAAGTGAAATAAATTTCCTTTCTTATCTGTACTTTTTATGATAGTGAAAAAAAAAATCAGAAATATTTATAATTACGGAATAAGTGAAAAAAATCGAAACGATGTCTATGCAACAACTTTATAGTGGTAAAGAATCAAAACATGGTCGTCGACTGTGTAAAAACTATGTAAAACTTGGTCTAAATTTTTGACCATTATTATACAGATACTACTACTACTTACCCATCAAGATAAGTCGGAACATAATTATTATGATAATCTTTGTGTTATAAAATAAGGAAAGGATTTGATAGTATAAAAGTTGTAAAGTCATAAAAAACAACAAAATAAACAATTATTAATTACTAGAATATTTAAGTATGATAAGTTGTAATCGAATAATGATCATCATTCATGAAAATGGATAAATAAAAATATAATAATTGTGGAAAAATTGTTTGACATTTATTTATTTTATTACATTTGTTCGATTACATGATTTTTTTCAAGTTTTTTTTATGTTTTACGTGTGTATGATAAATGTGAAACATTCAAAATTTAGAGAGAATTAAAAGTACTCTGTAATTACTAATCATATTAATTACAAAATTTTCACAGCAATGATTTTGTATTTGTTGTATACAGGGTGGTTAAAATGTCACGCTACAATGGAAAATTTTTCGATGGGAAAAATCCATAAATTTCCATTAGTTACCGAAATTTTGTCTCTAAAATGCAACATTTTAAGAATTTTGTCATCAGTTTTGATAATAATTTATAAAAATCTCAATCCAAAATCTTGTAACTAATGGAGATTTAGGGACTTTTCCCATTGAAAAATTTTCCATTGTGGCGTGACATTTTAACCACCCTGTATATTGTCTCACGATCAGGATGATTATGAGACAATGCAATTTTATATTTTGACGAAACCATCAAAATTTACATATTAAAAAAACTAGGCGTGCGACATTCTATTAAATATATGTATTTATGTACATATATTATACATATTATGTATGTTAATTTACATCAATAAACCAGAGTTTTTTTAACTACGATATATGTACAGGATATTTGTATAATTGCATATTACATGCAAGTATGTATTACCTCAGCTCAATTATGCGTTTGTATTATGACGATTTTACAAAGTTGTGTCTAAAATATAGAGGAAGAAACTGCATACAAACCTAAATCAGCGTACAGTCAATTTTTTTTTGCGGTGGATAGAATTAAATTACTATGATTTGTAGTTTTGTTCTTAATAGTTTTATATAATTATAAAATACAGAGCAACTAGTTCACTTGAAGTTACAAAAATTATAACCTACATTTGTTTATTACGAGGTCCAGAGCTGGAGGTTGGGGCCTGTGCATTGGGAGAAAATTTAGATCGCTGAGCTATTTTAGTCAGTCTTTTATTTTCGATAGCAAACTCAGCATACGGTCTGATCGTTGGAGATTCATCAAATTCGTTCTCAAAGTTATCAAACTGACTCGTCCCATTAGACGTTAGTGAGGAAGAGGAGGAGGTTGCTGTGGCAGAAGAAGAGGAAATATTTGAAACTCTCTTTCTACGATTATTATCGTCAATACTTAAATTTGACACATTTTCACGAACACAATTCACTTTAGTTGACGATGAAGATGTTGAAGATGACGCTATAAAGTATTCGCTACTCGTGTTGTGGGCGAAGGTTGGAATGGAATGATCATCCACAGATGTTGAGCTAATGATGTATTCCTGATTTGTATTTGAGAGACCAGAATTAATGTTTTCTGGTCCGACTGGCACTGTGTAAGTCTCGCCGTCGATAGAACAGTCTGGAGCTGTGAACGTCGTGTCGCATTCGTCAGAATTCGTTCTCGTGCTTGAATCAATATCACCGGTAGTAACCATGTTGCATGTCTGCTGAGGGCTCATCATTCGCCTCAAAGGAATGTCACTTTTCAGACCTGCAAGTATATTTGAAAATCAGTTATATAAATTGTATAATCGATGCATTTGTTCTTCAACTGACCTTTTTTTGCGTAAAACAAAATATAGCCAGAGCTAAACTCATCTTTCGATGGAGATTTGTTGGTAACTGAATCGTCGTTAAAATAATGCCATGAGTCGGTTTTGGGATTTTTTGAGTAGCTTGTGTAATGTCCTCCAGAAGCAGCTGAAAAAGTAAGAGTAACGTTAACTTTCATTTTATTATTCTTTTTTATGATGGTTATTTTGTTGATTAATTATTATTAAACTTACATCCAAAATGACAAACACAAGAGTAAAGGTCGTAAATATGTTCGCCCCCAGCAAATTCCTCTGCAATATATTTACTAACATCAAACCCTTCGATTGGGAATTTCAATTTGTTGTTTAATTTGTTGCTGGAATGGTCGACGAACACAAATCTGTAACACAATGAAAATAAAGTGAGGTAGTTGTAAAAACGTTTACATAAACAAGTCAGGCATACCGTTTTAGATAAACTATCAAGTAATCAGGGAAGCGGCATATTGTTATAGATTTTGTAGCTAGTTGGTTTTTCTGGCAAACAGAGCAATGCCAAGGATTTTGATTGTCCAAGCATTCTCTGCGAATATGCATAAGAAAAATGATAACCTTAATTTTGTAATCCTCGCTACCAAACGGTTTAATGATTGCTTGTTATGTACTTACGTTTGCGAAAATGTATCTAAACATTCGTAAATGTCAATTAAAGGTTGCTCTTTAAAGCAATTGGCAGAGGGCCAACCGCTGTAGGGATTAACACATTTAGCCATGGTGGGGGGTTCAATTGAAGAAATGAGATCCAGGGATAAATCACTGTATGAGATCAAAATGCTATTCCTGGGGTTGATTGAAATTATTCCGTCCTTACGGAACTCACATCCAGTACAATTGCGGTTGTATAAACAGACCCCGCATTCTTTTCCCTATAAACGAATGTGTAAACCAATATATATGAATTAGTAATTACTATGTTAGCGGGTTTTTATTTGGGTTAACTTACATTCCAAGACGTGTTTTTAATTGCATACTCATTCTGCGAGAAAGGAGCAATAGATCCGACAAAATTGTAAAACTCTGAAGCGGTTAAGGTAGATGGAAGCTGTACTACTAATGGATGACCAATAAATCTGGGAGTTGGAGCCGCGTTATTATTATTGTTGGAGTCAATATTAGGCCGGTAATAAAACAGGACTGGAATTAGGTTCAGCTTTCTTTGACCATCACTGCTGCTCAAAAGTGGGATGAAAGACTTTTCATAATCCACAATTTCGGAACATACAGGACACTTTAGCTTTGTTTCAGCCTTAACAGCTGCACTGTCAGTCTCGCTCAAACATGCCGACGTTTTCTAAACAAGAAGATTAAGCTCAAATTAATAATATTTAATAAATAGTCTCAAATAATAAAGGTAATATTTTAAAAAAAATTACCTTTATGCAATCTGCGCATAAAATACAAGAGCACCCATAATGTTGTTTAAGTTTGGACTTTGGTAAGTCATCCAAACACACCGAACAACTCATCAGTTCTTCATATTCAGAGTTCTCTTGCTTGCAAGAATTATTTTCCGAATCGACATTAACATCTTCTGTACCATCCGAATCGGAAGCAGGAATAAATCCACCTCCAGTAGATACGGAGGGCCCTGTAGTTTCGTTGGTAGAATCGTTTTCCCAGTCTTCGGTAAGGTAAGTAGTCGGTCTAAGCATTGATTCCTGAGACTAGATAATTAGACGAATACGTATAATTGAAATATTATTCAGTCTGTAGAGCAACAATAATGACACGAATGATGATGTACAATGTACAACTTACGGGAAATGGTTGAAAACTATCATCCGCGACTGTAACATCTCCAACAACTTCGATAGTTGGATCACTAAAGTTTTGATTCAACTCCAAAACGTAGACCTGAGGAAAAATAAACGTTAGATAAATGTATAAATTTAGAAAATTAATCATACTAATACTAACATTATGGATTCCATCTTTAACATTTTTCAACGGTTGGTCATCTTTAAGGATGGTAATGATGTGGTAGTTTACAACTTCAGCAACAACAAAGTTGGACAGAGGAGGGATGCTGAGCTGGATGTCATGGAACACCTTTTCAACTACTTCCTCCTTCAATCTTCCCACAGTGTCACTAACGCACATGGTAACGTTCACTTTGTTTATTTGAAAATCGTTGTATCCAGAAAACATTACGTCTGTACAAGAAATAATAAATACATTAAAGTTACACAACATTAGGTAATTTTTAAGGTTGTAATTCGTTTGTTTGATTTTACTTACCAAGATTTCTATCCGCAGTTCTTGGAATGGGCAATGAAAGATACATGAATGGTTCAAATGTTGTTGAAACATAGTTGCATACTGAGCATGTCACCTGAGGAGGGAAGTGGAAAATAATTTTTTTTAAAAAAAAGCTTTGAATCGTTTGGAGAATTAAATAGAGTCAGTACTTACAGTGCTTTTGTACATTCCTTGAAATGAAGACGCAATCTGTAAGGTTTGAATCAATACATCAATTAAAATGTTTTACAATGAATAAACACAAATTATTAAAGTATAAAACTGAAATATTTACAATAGTATTGTTATCCCGAATATAATTCAGCCAAAATCCTTCGGCTTGTTTAGCTTTGTGTTTCAAAACCCGCTTATCCTCGTCCTCCTCCTCCAACATATCAACTTCGCTTTCTGCATCATCATCCTGTTGTACATCCGAATGCTGTACCGATACCGGTCCTGAATTTTCGACTTCTGAGGAAGAATTTTTAACCTCTTCTTTATCTCCGGATTGGACACTTGCGCTAACTTCGCTATCATCAGTCAGGCGTCGTCTCTTTTTTGTATTTGACAATCCGTCTTGTTGCATTGAAGTTTCTGCTTCGCAATTAGAACCAGGAGATTGCAGTGAGGACGAGACATCAGAGTCGTTAACAGTTGAGAGGGACTCTACACTTGACCCACTCGTGGCACTCTCCGTTCGTGGACCTGACGCGAAACCAGAGGAATTTGTATCATTTGTATCCACACCGCCACGTTTTATGTTGTTCCAGATTTTTAGTTGTTCGTGAAGTTCATCCAACGTATACGCAAGAAATTCTTGACAGTCATGCTGTAAACGGGAAGAGTAATTAATTTCGAATTTTACTTTTGAACCATTGAATGATAATTGCAAGAATTAGTCATACCTGCCGACAGTCTTTAAACTGGGCAATTATATTGCCCAACGTATCCTTAAACTCGCGTGGATAAATAACCGAAGATGGTCCATGCCATGCATTCCTGATCAAGTTTTGGAACGATTGGGTTAACTGTGCTCTTGGTGGAGAAACTTGCTTGATGGTGGGACTAAAGTGACAAAATTAGAATCGCAATTACATACATAATTAATGTTGGTTTAGACTATGTATATGCTGGTAAATGTCTCAATTACGTACCTTTTCAAGAAAAATTCTACCACTGGAGGCGTGTTTAATAAACTTTGAAGTCCGGAATTCATAAAGCAGCTAAACACAATGTTTGGTTAATTAGTCTACTTTCGTGTTTCGATAAAATAATAGCAAAAACCCGAAAGTTGCTTACGTGTTTCCTAAATTTCCAAAGCCAACAACACCGGGCATTTTTGAACTAACATTGGAAACCCCACTCCCACTGGGTCCATTATTTCCAAAGTCATAAATCGTTCGAGGCGAAGAAGGTCTTTCGCTACTTCCATATTTTGGTAGTTCAGGTTCACTAATTGCCAAATATGATTGATTACCCCCATAAGCTGCAAAGTAATGGTTTCATATTAAAATTTTTATTATGCAAACAACCAGATTGAATAATTTCTTACCATTGCCACCAATTGAGAGGGTCGTAGGAGCTGGGAGCGGAATTGGTGCACCCATAACACTGGTGATGATTGGAGTGGGTGGACTCAATGAGCTCAATCTAGCCCTCTTACTTACGGGGTGTGGGTCAATATGGTGGATCGGATCGTCTAGAACTTCAACAATAGGGCCTACTTCGCTGCCATTAATATCGATCAGCAGGTCTGGACTTTTGGCCGCTTCCACTTCCCCATTCATGTTGACTGGCGATGCTGCCGTGGACGTTGGTGGAGTAAAAGTTGCACTGGCATTACAGAATATTTACACGTTTCATTGCACGCCTTTATATCGTTCGATAAAATCGACTAAAGAATAAACTTTAATTCATGCTTACCTAGACGACGATGCGTTGTTGTTGTTTCCATTATCCTATTAATAATTAATTTAGATTTGATTTATTTTACTAAATGTCAGGTAATCGTGGCTAGTGGGATTATTTACCATTTTTAAAAGTTCCTGATTCCTAGCGTAATGATTTACTGGCAAGTCATTCTTCTCCAATTGGGTCATCCTTTCTGCTTCCACGGTGTGTGATATGATGATGAGCTGCAAGTCAGCAATATAAATAGCAAATTAGGAAACATTCTCTTGATTCAACTTGAATAATATTTATAACTACATATAATGGCTGACGAATGTTTAACTTAAAGCTATAATTGGTCTCAAATAAACAACAAATACAGCTTAATTTTCGTAGCATATATCTTATATACTAGATTATCAGAACAGAAGCTAAAACTTTCACTCCTGAATCTTTTCTTTGCACTTGACACATTCCTTCACAAAACTTTAAAGTATAATTAAGTTTACCTTAATTGACAAATCATTAAACTTACTCCTTTATCCTCAACACACAACAACGATTCCCTCCCTTTGCCCTTCAGCACAAGTCACAACATGTGACAAGCGAAATCAAAATAACTTTAACAAATACCTATTCCACTATCAAACCCACTCGATAATCATCTCCACAATAAAAACTAATGAACAAAACACAAAATCGAGACCAAAATCGACATTTAATTAACAATTATACTCCTATTTTATTCTTACCTCCTTCACTAAGCTGCTGATTTGAGTCGCGCTGCTACCACACAGCCCAAAAGTGAAAATATTTTCTCTCCTCGCTCTGCTTTCACCGCTCGTCACCACCTCCGCCGCACATAGTCAGTCTTTTCGCACCGTTATTTTTCTATTTTGGCGATAATTTTAGCAACAACAATGGACAATTAAAACTTGTTTCTATAATTTGGCAAGACATGCACCGTGGAGTGGATCGGAGAGCCGAATGCGAGCTCATAGCTTGGCAAAAGGGAGCGAAACAGAAGGGCAGTGAACTTCGATCGATGGATGCACCCAGCATATCACCACCGGTGACGGTGGCGGCTAAAAAGATGTGATTTCTTTGGCAAAGAAGAATTTAGGCCTGGCTGCTTTATTGTATTGCATACCACGTAAAATGAAATGAATGCCAATGCCACGTAGTACGTATTTTTGTCATAACAAAACCACGAGTAGTAAAAGTCAAACACATTGCGAGTTATTTCTGGAGAAAGTATTTGGACTTGTCAGTTTAAATTTTGAACGAGAAAAATACAGTTTTGGCGTTGAACCCTTGCGATAAAAATTCTCACTTTTTTTCGGAAAGTTGTTATTGTTGGCGTTGCAGTCTTACAATTTCGTAAGTGCATTTGCTATATGTAGTGTAAAATCTCATTGTGAATAATTTTACTTGGGTTTTTCAGTGTGAAGAGTCATCATACGAGATGCGGCAGCTGAAGGGAAAAGTGAAGGAGACGCCAAATCAGAGAAAGGAAAGGAAGAAGGAGTTTCGCGAAAATAAGGAAAATGTGATGAAAATCGCAGTTCCTGCCCTAATTATTACTGCCCTCGTCGTCTTCTTCATCGTTTATGTTGCCACGAGTCGTCCCAAAGCGTTCTAGTTTAGGTTATGCCGGAGTTAACGAAGTAATTAATTGTCAACCTTGCTTTAATTGGAATTGTGATAAGTATTTAACAGGTATCTTACTTACTTGATGCTGAATTGATAAACTGATTATCATTCCGAGAACCTGACAAAATCCGTACAAAGGACTTTATTTGTATGCAAAATTGTTGTACTATACAAAGTTTTCAGTTTTGACTGGTTATAAAATTTTATAAAAGCAACATTTGGTATTTCTTAAAGTTAAAGGCTGAGACACATTTTGGTAACACATTATTTCACGGAAACATCAAATTATTAATGTGATGGAATATACAGAGAATTATAAATAAATTGAACATACTGGAGATTCAGTTTCATATACTTAATCAATACTGTTTCTTACTGCTAATTTTAACTAGTTTGTGTGCAGTTTTTTTGGCATAAGTACACTTTGTGTTGTAAATTATTTCTCTACTTTTATTTTCTATTCTGTAATATTTCAATAATTTGGGTTCGTTTGTCTTTGGCTGCTCTGTCCTTGGGTGAAAGTCCGTCGCTGTCGAGCAATTCCGGATCAGCTCCAGCGGATATTAAAAATCTGACCATTTCGATTTTATTTGCAGTCACTGCTCGATGCAAGGGGGTCGCCCTTAGGTTGCATGTGGGCAGGTTGACCTTTGCACCAAGCTTTATCAGAGCTTTTGCGGCATCCATGCATCCATTTCGAGATGCATAGTGTAAGGCAGCATATCTGCAATGGACATAAAATATATTACAAATCTGCAAATATTACATATGCAAATGTGTCCCATACATATATTATTTCTGTTGCTTACCCATAGTTATCTGTTGCATTGACATCAAACCCCCCAGATTTGGAGAAAGTCATAATCTTGGTGACGTTATTGTCGATTGCTGCTTGAAAAATGCTTCGTTCGAACGATAGCTCATCAAGGTTCTGATGCACGCTGGGATTTGCTGGCTTGATATTGCAAGATGCGCAACCTCCATCGGAGTGGTGATGATCTACAGTGCTTAACTTTCCTCGACTTTCACTCATTGTGCCAAATTATTTTACGCTATTTCTAAAATTAACATTAACTTAATCTTTGCATATGAGATGACAAGGACGGTAACTGTTAAACCTGATGATTGCTGAAATAGACAGCTTTCTCTACTGCTAAAGCTGCTTTCACTGACCTAGAATAGCTATGTGTACCCCTCGAGAAATTTGTGATTTTAACTCTAGTTCTTTCACCAGACTACTAACTAATCTTGAGGTTCCGGTTCACTAAACTCTCTCCGAAGGGTCCAACTGTACTCCGTAGTCGTTGTGGTCAACTTGTTGGTTAGCATATTAACATTTGTAGCAGTGGTTGTAACGACTTTAAACCCCAACACTTCCAAAGCTGTCAGTATAACGGTAGGCTTTACGGAGGATTGAAACACGTTTGCAGACGCTGGACCAAATCGGATGAATCCTGGTATTATAGGAAATTATTGAAATTTCACTTTATGCGAAATCTATTATCATGCAGATAATCACAATTTTTTGCTAACCAACCTTCCGAATCCACTTCCAGCCTATTTGACAAGCATGGAATCTTTTGGAGATAAATGAGATCGTCCGGTTTCAGTCCTGCAATGTCTATCTAGGGAAAAAATGAGATGCGAATTTGAGAAATGCATATTTTATTTAAGTGATTTCTTACTACTTGTATTATTTATTACGGGGGAAAAGAGAAATCAACACAAATTATGACGCTAATTTAATTACCACGTTACTCCCACGTTTCCAAATAACCACAGAATATGGCATATTATCCTGGTAAGTCGGTTTGTTAATTAAATAGTTCAATATTTGTTATATTTGTCAGAAAAGTTTCAAAATACTTTCACAACGATAAAACTCTATCTAATTTCAACAATATGTGATGCATTTACTTTTAGTCTCACATACACCATTTAAACCTTGATGCAATTTACAAAATGGGTCAACTATACCTAATTACTATTTAACTACTGTATTTAAATACGATTAATGGAATGTGTGTAAATGTAAAACCGAGCTTTCTCCAGTTAACCCTTTCATCACAAAGCGCAGTTTCGAGTTCCGTCCTCCTTCGCCCTCTGGCCGAAAGAATTGGAAGTTGAATAGTTGTCTCTCGCAGCCACAGTTCCCATGCTTCGTTCTTTTCCTTTCTGGCTGTTGATCGAGACACACCACGCTGTCCTAAAAAAGGTCAATATTCCAACAAAACCGAGGTCATCATGAGGATTTACAAGGATATTTTCAACGGTAAGTGTACCCCAAGGGTTTGGGAACAACTTGTATCAAACAGATTTTTAAGGGGAGGCGTACTTTAGGAGATATTTCGATTTTAAAAGTGCCGTTATTTCCGAGTTTTTTTTGTCTTGTATTTTGTATGAATCACAAACCAGACGGGTGGTTAGTGACGTAGTAAGCTAAATGACGATGACCTTTTAGTCAGTATGGGGATTTAAACTTTGGGACGGGTGGGGTTTTGTGAATTTTAACGATGAAATATTGAATTTTACAAGGGTGAAAGTTATTTTTGAATGGCCATTTAAAATTATTTATATAATTATTATTTAGGGGATGAGATGTTCTCCGACACCTACAAGATCAAACTGGTCGACGAGGTGATGTACGAGGTTACCGGAAAGGTAAGAGTTCATCTGCTTTTATATTTCATATATAAGGTATTTAATTAATATCTAATGGTGTATTAAATTTGCGTGTTCCAGCTCGTCCAAAGAAAGGCTGGTGAAGTTATTCTTGACGGAGCCAATGCATCCGCTGAGGGAGCCGATGCTGACGAAGGTGGAGATGTTGGTGTCGAATCTGGCGTTGACATTGTTCTCAATCACCGACTTCAGGAGACATTCGCTTTTGGCGATAAGAAGGGATACACCGCTTATCTGAAAGAGTATATGAAGAAGGTTGTTGAGAAACTTCAAACCACCGCCCCCGACCAGGTTGATGTTTTCAAGGTAAGCTTCATTAATTCATTATTGGGATGCATGAACAGATAATGATTTAAAAACAGTAAAAATATTGGAAGATGTATGAATGTGAAGTAAATGGCTTGAATCTTTCTTTTAGACCAACATCAACAAGGTCATGAAAGATCTGTTGGGACGGTTCAAGGATCTGCAGTTCTTCACTGGTAAAAAAATTATCTTTTTCAGTCAGTTTTATGCGTACTTTCCAATTGTGCAAATTCTAATTTTTATTTTATTGTTTTACAATTGTAGGCGAGTCCATGGATTGCGACGGTATGGTGGCTATGATGGAGTACAGAGAAATCGACGGCGACAGCATCCCAATTCTCATGTGCTTTAAGCATGGTCTAGAAGAAGAGAAATTTTAAACATGAATAATTTTCACTCGCTCTTTCTTATACATACCCTACGCGATCTAAAAATAAATGATGCCTCTGGAATCAACAACATAATAATACAACACTGTATTGGTGGCTGGCTACTTTGATGAAAAATTCTTTTAATCCGAATGATACATCATCACCATCATAATTATTTTAAGAAAATTTAATTAAGCGAGAATGACGAGATTTTGTACTTTGGTCACTCATTTTCCATTAACTAATACGAAAGCCTATACTTGATTAGCGATCTGTTACCTATTTTATACTAAAACATGGCTGTCGCTTTGTTACGTTTTAGTTTAAAATCTACTATATACTCTTCTGGTGACCATGAATGTGATGTGACTGATTGTGCCATATAATACTTCCATACTTTATTATCATGTTTATCGTTTTGAATTGTTGCTGAGTTAGGAATGGACCGTTAACAAGGACTGATAGAATAAACCCAGATTTGCATTGTGCTTCAGAGAAAATGTTTAGTCTCTTCTTGATTCAATTATATAAAAAATACACGCGGTCCATCTTGGTTTTGTTTGTTTCGGGAAAATTAGCTCATAAAGTGGTCATAATTTGCATACGACATGATTTAATTTCTTACCTCATTCTTCTTACTTCTTACTTGATCATGCCTCTCATTCTCATCATCGTCATTTAGTAATTTAAGGTTTTGGTCACCCGACATCATTTTTGGTCTACTGACAATTTATGACGATTGACTATGACGATTTAATCTATTGCCATCACCACTGTTATCATGCAACCAATTTGCATTATGCGAGTGACCAGACAAACATTAGCATCTGCATTACCGTCACAATAGATTTAGCTCCACAAGTCCGCCTGCATGGTTGGATGACCACAATATCCACGGGTGGTAAATCCCCCACCTCAAGAAGAATATTAGTTAAGTGGGTGTAAAAATGTTTGGAAATAAGCAGACTGGAACTTATGCACGAGCCGAAAGGGACAACCTCACCCAATTATTACCACCATGCAGCCCTTCTTCATTTATATGCAAAGGCAAATGGGGTCATGTTTCAATTATCCTGTCGGGTTTTTTCTTCTTTGGAATCATTCATGTTTTTTAATACTTTGAATATTATAAACATTTTTATAATAAGTACGTAAATAGGTAGATTACGATGTTGTGTAAAATAAATATTCCGAGAATGGCCTCCTTGCACCTTAAAGTTACCACTTATTAATTATATTTTTATAATTACACAATAATAAGTCAAGTCTGAAATTCGGAACAGGGATTCTAGTTGATTAGAATAGTGAGTGGACCTGGTAATTTTACAAAGTCACGAAAAAGTACTCGTCAGAAAACAGTATAACTGATTCAGTCCTATCGTGGATATTAAATAAATACATTTGCTTATGTGAATATCAACAAATTCAAAATTATGGCATAATTTTGCATAGTTTTGCGAATCTCATTTTGCGCTATAGCTGCGCTATAGCGCCGACAATGTGATTTCTTCAGATCTTCAAGGCGTCCAAATTACAATTTTCTTAGATTTTTCTGCACTCAGCAAACTCACGCCTCTGGGGTGCCAATGACATGCGATGACCGGGCCCCTAATTAATTATAGCAAAAAATTAATAGGATTTTTATACAGATGCAATGATCAAGATATAAAACACCGATTTCGTCATATCGTCACAATATTTGCATGAAGTGCATGCAAATTACTCGGTCATTTCATTTGAGTCACGTCTATATCAGCACAACATGCGTAATAATGAACAACTGTAATCAGGAAAAAATGATGTTTTGCATAAACATCATTTGAAGAATGTCAAACTAATGGTAAAAGCACGTTTTTTAGAGCAACATTTTTATTACTTTGCCCAACCAAATCCATTTTACGTGTCTGAGATGGCATCGTCCTAAATTAACCGATAAAGTGCATCTCTCAAAATATTTAGGCTACATAACCGTCCGGTCAAGAAAGTGTTGGGATTGGACAAGGTGTGAAAAATTGGATTGCACCATCATCTACATTCTAGATGACCGAGTATGATAACGAGCAAATGTAAATTGATAATTGGATAGTTCCCATCAAATGAAGAAGAACACAACCATGCACTCGACGTGAAAAACGATAACGAGAAATGTTTGCGGGACAACATGGGAAAATAACAGGAAAAACTTAACGACCCATCCTTAAGTCGGAATAAAAATCAATATAAAACAATAAACATAAATATATAAATCCATGCCCTAGTATCTCTTACTTGATGTGATAATTTACACTTTGTTCCCCTTACACACATATTGGCATGCAAAATCTTGTCATATTTTCCTAATTAATCGCCCTTCTGACTGAATTGTGGAGAGAATTATTTATGATCGGCCTCGGTCGGAAATTCACACACCGTCCCGTCGCGTCATGTCATGGTCTGGTTCTGGTCAGCCGGGCATTGCATTGCATCGAAACGTATGAGATCTTAACGCACCGGTAATGCGCTGCAGGTCTTCTTTTTCACTATTATTATCACGTACTACCCACCAGTGTCTCGGAATGAATATTCATTCCCTTGTAGCTAATGATACACTTAATCAGGCAAAGGGGTCAGTCTAGTCAAAGCGCTCTTCGCTGTCAAGCGGAATCAACTTACGAGTGCTGTTTGAGAACAGAATCCAATTTATTTTCCATCACATTCCACACGAAAATTGACCCATCCGAGGAGCCACAGGCAATGTAAACTGCATTAGGGGAGAAGCAGCAACGGTCAAAGTCAGAACTTATCTTGAAGCCTTCCGCGCTGAAAAAAATACATTTAGATTAGACACGGTTCAAGTTGAAAGTATGCATGACTAATATCTTCATTATTGCATTTTATTTAACTTAACACCCCCGTGATAATTAAGCCATAAAGAAGATAAATCCACCTTCACCTCCTTTACATTTACTACATACATCGGCAGGCTATATGTGTGCAATTTTTTGCAAAAATTCTATAAAAATTGTGTTTGAAACATACATAGCGAGAGCATTTTGAGATTCTGGCTACTTCCGAAGTAGATAAAAAGGTCGGGGGCTACTACTGGCTCCTCGATTACAGAAAATTTAAATTGAGGTGAAGCTATTGAAACGAATTGAGAATAATGCAATGCAAAAATGTGCATGGGACGACGATGAAGAGTAATCCCACAAGAGATTATGTACGTGTTGGTTACTTATTATTCTTATTTATTTATACAAGTATGTAATCATGCAATTCCTAAAATCGTATTTTTCTAAACAAACTTTTCAACACGAAAGAGGACTGGGAAAGATAACATTATGATTACGGCGACGACGGGATGTTGGAATTAGGTGGTGGGACTGAAAATAAGGGAATATGTGTGCACTGGTAATAATAAAGTACCGTAAATTCTAAAACACCTTCAACTTATAACCTGCCTCATCCGGATTACACTGATTTGGATAGTTTATCATCAGCGGATGGAAAGAAAAGAGCGAGCTGGTGGATAAGAGTAATAAATTGTTTTATGGTATTTATCTATGATGGAAATATGCAAAATGTCTCATTTCTTGTAATACATAAAGTACACAAGTGAGTACTTAAAGATGCAACTGCCTAGTACATATTTATGCCCATGATGTGTCATAATTAATTCCAACAAGTGTTTTGTTGTAATTATCCCACGTAATGTACATAAAGACGACCACGCCGTAAATGTCACTCGTATAAAAATCGAGAATAATTCAACTTGCTGTCAACTTGTATTACACTACACATTTATACACATGACATAATAGATATGTCATAAAAAAGCAAAACGTGGCGAGATTCATTAGGTCAGACAGTAAATTAGACTACATCACAATTCGTACATATGTACAGCTAGCTGATTGACGTCATATTGTGGGAAATGTGTACATTCCTTATAAACAAAAGTACCTGCAACAACCTAAATTCTAATAGCGTGCATGAAATCGGATGGTTCAGGGTGACTTTTAGGTTAATTGAATTAATCGTATATGATATTTAAAAAGTTATGTACAGTACAGCTAATATGTGAATTTGATACACTAATTGACGTATTGTACCTGTATTGCCCAACGATTGTGTTCATCCGTAAATCGAGCACGGCAAGCGAGTCGTCTCGTACGGATGCCATCTAAAAATGTGTAAAATTATAATGATATTATAAGCATACACTATGCTAAAGCCATACCAGGTAGTTCTTATCCAATGATAAGTCCAGTGACGTGATCCGGCCTGAAACTCACATATCATAATGTTCCTAATTAGTTATCTCCCTGTATAAATTACCATGCAAAAAGGCATCTCCTTCCCGACAGGGGGCAAATTATCAAACTCACCACATAAGTTGACTTCTTGCGTTGGGCTGTCGGTTCTCGCGTCCCAAAAGCGTATTCGCTTATCATAGTGACCGGAAATTATACTTGACCCATCAACGCAAACGAGGTCATTACAGCTTGATCCGGCAAACTTGGTGGAGATACCTGTGAATACAATGTTAAGTTTAAGTGAATTATATCCAACTTGGTACAATTAAGGATAAGTGGATACCATAAGTATATGTACACATATCGTACATGTACATTGTTATAATATGCAAAACATTATTAACATTTCTCAGGAAAAAGGCTCAGATTGTAGCTTCCGGAAAAGATTGTATAGCCTTCTTTTCTCGTTGGTTGGTTGGTGGGAGTACAAAATTATTGCGTGTCTTGAAGACATTCATAATTTTATACTGACTTTATTGTAACAAGAAATGAAATACAGCTACTTTATTGAGCTGTTACATAACACAACGTCTGAATATGCACATGGAAGGGTCATCGGGTATAATGATAATGACTCAATTTATTAATTAATTAAAACTGACAAAAATTCATTCACAAAATTTAAGATTTTGTGAATAATATACAGAGTCACGAGTGCCAAGTGATGGACAAGACAACGCACAGGCTTTGGCAGGAATAATTAAGCGTATTAAAAAAACTCACATGCTCGAGCGGAAAGGTCCCACACTTTCAAAGTTCGGTCATGCGATCCACTGAAAAAAGAAGAAATATGATTAATTTATATTTCATTATAACCAAGTTAACATTCAAGTCCAGGCTTTTAAACATATTTACCTCGCTACTTTAGTTGACGATCCCAAAAATCGAGCCGCTAATACTTTCTGACTGTGGCCTGTCAGCGTATGCTGGAAGAAAAGAAATGCGTAAAAATACTTAAGTCTGATGGACAAGTGTAACAGCAATTTAATGAGAAATAAAGAGTTTCCGGAAATTCATGTTACATAGATCGATTGGAAATGGCAATTTTTCATTGTGCAAGTGGGATGCATCTGTTCTTCCTGATTTTATGAATAATAATAATTCTTCATGCAAGTCTATCTTACTCGTATCATGAGGTGCAGTAGTAGTAACAATGTCGCACCTGACCCACCACCACAGCAACATCAAAGTGAAAACGTGACCATTTGTCTTTAAGGTTGACAAACTTGATAACAACAATTTTGACGGCACTTCTGTTATGGACAGCTTCCTCCATCCGTCCAACACTTGAAAGTGATAATGGTCCGTCCGGCATAAAACAAACTTGTCTGTGGCCATCGTCTCTCTCTCCAAAGAAAGTAATTGATATACTTTTCCCATGTTAAATGCATAATAAATTGGGCGACAGCAATTGTTACTTTGTGGAGGGCAAGGTGTGGCTGACGTAGGTAATTCCTCTCCCTCCCTCCCTCCCTCCCACACGGCTCATGTACATATAATTTTGGTGCACTTTTCAAGTAATAACAAGTTTCAATGAAGAGTCCAAAAAATCTCATAAAGCATCATTTCTTCCTTCCTTCCTATTATTACTCGCATTAGTTCGCATTCACTCTCTCATGAGCTTTTCCGTTAACCTGAAAATTTTCATATTGTCATTTTTTCCGTGTACAGTTATAAGCGGCCCTGCGCTTTAACATGGTTGCATAAACACGTCATTTCTCACCTATGCATAACGAGAACTGTTATTTGTTCATGGAATTATTGTGGTGTGGATGTGTCGTCATTTACAAGACATGCTTTCAATCTGGTATCACGGATTGTGCATTTATGAAAATTGAATGACACGTCTCATTCCGTCATGTACATACAAACTCAACTAATTCGTAAATACATACATACTCTCTTCTATTTTCTATCTGAACCATGATCTTCCAGCCTCTCAAAGACACCGATTACATGAACATGAACAGATCATTTCTATCTCTTTGAGGTTTTTATTTCCATCATTTGAAAAAGCGGAACGGCACATGGTAAATTGCATAGGGCAAAAAACGACGGATCTTCTCAAACCAAAGAGAATATGAAAAGTTCTCACTCTATGTATTTACAAGGGGAAACAAAACTATGGTACATGACTGACGGCTTTTTGCATGTAGAAGACGACGGACAGAACATCTTGCTAATATTCAAGTTCTTTTGTCCACCACTAAACCAAAATGGTAAGTGAGCTTATGAAATTCAATAATTTTTATTATTATTACAGCTCTTTTTCCTTAAACATGGGATGGAATCCGTGAACGTTATAATTACTACAAAAAGTGTGCCTAGATTCAATTTTGTATTTGTACCCATACCAAATTGGGAAAGGTTGTGTCCCTCAAAGTTTCAAATGACCCTTTTCATGAAATGATGGTCAAAACAAGGAAATAGACATGTACGTGTCGGTCGGTGGATTACATAATTTTTTGACTCGGACAGATGCAGAAATAATAAAGATTGAGTGGGAGGCGGATTCATCTTCACCCTTGAATTCGAATTAAAGTCTTAATGACTTTCACCACCACCGACCACACTGCTTACCACCTTACAGACCATTCTGCTATAGGGGAATGTAATGTTGTTATCGAGGAATACGAAGAGGGGAATGTGCTATATATATATAATTGAAAAACTGCTATGAATTACATGCTTATTTAAAAATAGGAAATAATTATCACAAAGTTATATACCACAATTGTTACATGTTTGATAAAACATGAGTATAATTAATTTGGGGGCAGGGTCGTCCAATTTATCTTAATTTTCTTGTGAGACTCCTATTTCCTTATTATTGCTATCCTTTGCCAAATGGAACATAAAGTTATGTCCGTGTCCATTTTGCAGTAAACCAATGGTACATGTATTCCAAAATGTATGTACTCGACATTTAAGAGAGTTTCATTCACCATGTGCAAAATAATCTAGAAATCACCTCAGGGGACAAGAAATGGACAGACGGACATAATGCCGTCAGTGTGCGCAGTCATTGAAATAATCCGATTTCAAATGGGATTAAGCTTTCCGTATTATTTCAGATTGTTAACCTTGCGTTGAACGAAATGGAAAAAAAATCCAACCATTACCTTTCCTACAAGTCTCCACCTAATTACCGAATCTCTATTTATTATCAAGAGTCAATCCCCAAAATGATGACATAATGAACGTCAGCACACTCATATTATTAGCAAGATGAAAATTATTACGTGTAAATGTTGTACCAGAGATCTGGAAAAGTAAGAAAAATTACCCCGTTAACAGTTATGATGACTGCACGTTGACAACCTATAAGCTTAATATATTTATGAGATCTTCGGGGTTATCTTTCTACACGATAATAATGATGGGAACGCAAAACCCCGTCAAAACACTGATGTTTGACACTGTCCGACCATGACCATGACCATTCTCAGAGGAAATACATTGACTGCCGGCCAGACTAGACAGGCACTTAAAAGGTTTTTAAAATTTCACCATTTACAATGATAAATGAAACATTTTGCCCATAATCACGAACAAACGCTTCGACTCATTTGCAAGTCAAATAGGTAGTTCATCCATGTTTCAGCAAATCCGAAAATTAGGGATTATAAGAAGACGCTTTTAAGACATGAAACGAATAATCTTCATCTCATAAATTTCAGAGTTTAGCATAATTCACAAAACTTAATATATTTTCCTGTCCATTTGACACGTTTTTCTGAAAGAGGTATATCTACATACTTTGCAATATAGGAGATACTTAATGAATTTCTCGAAACATTTACACCTCCCTCATCTCAATCCAACTAGAATATGACGACGAGTCTACCCACTTTTCTCGTTAGTCTGGTCCTGGTCAGTGTCATGATGTCATGTTCTTCTTCTCATCATCCATCTCATCGTCGTTTCAATTGTTCACTGGTGGTGTAAGTTAACCCATAACTCATACATACGAATTTTATCCTAGAATGCTGTCTTTCAAATCCTGACATGACATTCCCATTTCAGAAAATGCCTTATTATTTCCCTAACTGGGAGTCACTTGAACTTCTCAGCGGCTATGAATTTCTGTTAATTTTCAATAATGAAACCGTCTCAAGTCTCATATATAATAATCAATTCAATTGAGCACAACAAAGTCCCGTCCTCTTTTTTCTCATAGCTACACACGAATCTATGTATGTTATTCATTTACTGTAAAAAATAATCGGAACCAAAATAACTTAAAAGTGATCTGACGGACGCACAATGATCATTGTCATCCGTTTTATGTATGTATTTAACCCGTTCGCCTTTCAGTGTCAGGCATGCCGCACCAAAAAAGAGACAATTTGGAATGTCTTCTCAGAATGGGAATGATTGCTTCTTGTTGCAATTCAATAAATAAATTCAGGCGTTGTGTGACTGTTCTAGAACTCTGATAAATAAATATCACCGATGATGATAAAATGTGCATAATGCCGAATTTAATAAAGTAAAGTGACGGGAGTTAAAGAATAAAGAATGGTGTAGGTAAGGTAAGGCATGCATAAAAAAATCATCTATATTTATAAAGAGCCCATTTTCCCGTCCATCTTTCTCCTTGTTCTGCTAAAGGCCTACATGCTAAGTGACTGATGGTCTCGTTGATAAGGTTAAGAAAAGGCATGATCATCCGTATCTCCACATCCCATTCTGCCACCGACACATTGTGATTGTACAGAAATACGTACGTACCTATATTCGCATACGTAGAAAAAGAAGAAGGAGAAGAAAAGACCACTAAACTGACACTTTTTTTAAACGAATCTTCTCCTTGCTCATGCTCAGACTTCAGCTCGTAGATTTATTTGCCATTATAAAACGCGGACAATGTACATTGAATTTTATGAAGCATAATTTCTTTTCGAGTGTTTGCATTTGCGGGTGATGTATGACGACGAGGAGGACGACGAAGTCGACGACGACGATCGAGTGAGGGGAATCTTATGAAACGAGAAGAACTACCGATATAATTGGACCAAGCGCATACATGTCCAAATAGGGAGACAAACACTGCGGGACAAATCACGAATTTCTTTCAAGATTTAAAAATTCTTTCAAAACTTCTCATATGAAACTGCACAAATAGAAAAAAATAATGCGGTTTGTTCCGTTTTCCACTCATCACAGAACTTCCTATTTCAGCAAATTTGCAATATTTATATGTATTTATATGGTATGGGACCCACTTGAGCAGTGCATGCATTACAGTTCTCTGCACACATTTAAAGTTATAGGGATATAATTAAAATGAAGGGATGCATATGCATACTGCAGTTTTAATTAGTGAGCCATGTTACTTCCCACCGCTTATGACATACTTACTTCTTCTTTTGTTAAAACCAGAATTTTTTTTTCAAAATCTCAGAATAACCCGTGATTTTATCTTTTACGGATATGTATGTAAAAAAATAGATTTTTTCTATAATTCTACAGCAGCAAATCATCGTCAACGAGCTGGCATTATACGAAGCTAATGTTGCCTGAACCTCCCATTATGAACACCACTTGAACGTTAACCATTCATTAAATCATCGAGCCTACCACAAACACTCAAGATCCGAGATGCGTTTGTATACTTCATCCCAAAAGCTATGAATCTTTTACATGTCACGACTTTTCTTCGCTCTGTTGAAACCCCCAGCTCACTAAATAAAACTATAGTGAGACAAAATAATATATAATTCTTATACCCCAAAAATCCCCGTTTTCTCTATTGTACAGATTTGTACACTTTACAAATTCAAAAGCCAAATGGAATGGAATGTAATGCATAAAACCTATTGAGAAGATTCTCCAAAAACACACTCTGTATGTAATTACTAATTGCACAACAAACCCAGCAAAGTGCGAGGGTATGATCGTTGCGTTGTAAATAAAAACTTCT